GTTTTAGGTTGAATTTTTTTCAGCACAATAAAAATATCATTCATTCTAAGGGTGGGGTGTGACTTAGCAATAGGGTACATCCCACCCACCCACAAATAATTCATTTTCTGCCTCATGTTTTCAGTGAGGAATCAGAGGTCATTCCAGTTGTTAACTCTATATTGTGTCTAATTCTCCCTGAGTATTTTTATGTACTTCCTTCTTCTCACTGAAAATAAAATTGATTTTCAGCAAGTTGTTTATGGTATGTAATTTTCTTTGTATTTATTCTGCTTGAAGTTCATTGAGCTTCTTGGATCAGTAGATGGATATATATTTTTCATCAGATTTAGGGAAATTTTTCTATCAGTATTTCATTAATTACTTGTCTTCCGCAGCCTCTCCTTTCTCTCCTATGGAGGCCATATACATATATATTAGACTATATATATTAGATATATTCGATGACCAGATCAGCTGAAATATTCCAGTTTTTACTCTTTGTTTTCTAGTGCCCTGTCTTCAGTCACCCATCATCTAAGAAATCTAATCTGTCTTATTAGAGAAAAATTCATCTAGTGAACATGGACTTCGGCTATCCTATTTTTATCTCTGTAATTTTCATCCAGTTTCTTTCAGCATCATTTTCTTCATTCTGTTTATAATTTTCTTAAATCTTAACGTTCTTGTCAGTCCCATCATCCTTGTCCTATGTGGTTCTCTTGATGAGATATGATGAATTATACTTGATTTTCAGTCACCTTTTCTCTGGATTATTAGTCACACTTTCCTGGTTTAATCTGATGATGAGTTTTATTCTACTTTATATGGTGTAGGTGCTCTGTTTGAATGCCTGGATTTTGTTGTCTCTCTTTGAAAAATGGCTGCTTTTTTGTTTGTTTGTTTGTTTGTTTGTTGGTGTGTGTGTGTGGCCAGAAGTTCAGTTGTTTACAGATCAGCTTGCTACTGGCAAAGGCTGAACTTTAGTTTGTGGTAGAGGAGGTTTAGGAAACCCTTATTCTATGGTTGGAGAATTCCTGCTAGCTCAGTATGTGTCAGGATCTCTAGTAAACGCTCCATGTTTTCAAAAGCAGGATTCTCCCGTCTGCTGTGCAAGAACTCCAACAGCCTCACCTTGTAGGAACCCTGAGTCCTCACTCAGTTCACCGCCTAAGCATTGGTGGTGGCCATCGGGCGTTGCACGCATCCCTGTGGCCTTCAGCCTGAGACCCTGCCCTGGCGTCCTCTTTTTGCACGACTCCCGTCTCTCTGTTAGTCTGCTCTCTCCGCCTCAAGCAGGAGCCTGGGATTCTGATCGCCGTCAGCTCAGCAGGCCACAGAGAGCGAGAGCGGGGGTGTCAGGGGAACCCTAAATGCCCATCATCATCAGGCTGCTGTCCAGGGTCTGCGCTTTAACAGTTGGGGTGGGGGCAGGGAACACCGGTTTCTCCACTGTGTGCCTGCACTCTCCAGTGTTCTAAGACTGAAATCCAGGAAGGAGGGGCATTTCCCACACTAGACCCCTATGGCATCACACCCTCACACCCCCCCCCAACCCCGTCCATTCCCACCTGTGATCTCCAAGCTCCTAATTCCCGTTGGACAGGAATGCATTTTCACCTTTCGCAGCTTTTGAGGGTGGGAGGCATCTCCCCTTTCTGTCTCCCCTTTCTCAAAGCTTCATGTTCAAGACCTTGAGTCCTCTGTGTTTTCCTGGCTGCAGTTGAAATTTCCCTGTACAGAAAGGGGACAATGAATATCTATCTTGTTAGCTTCTCTTAGCTGGGCACATCTCATTCATGTTTCCCTTCCCCTCCCCCCCCCGCCCCCCTTTGACTTTGGGGCCACACCTGGCAGGACATGTTCCTGCCTCTGCACTCAGGAATTACTCCTGGCACTATAGGAAATGCCAGGGATCGAACCCTGGTCCGCTGCATGCAAGGCAAACACCTTACCTGCTGTTTTATTGCTCTGGCCCCTCACGCATGTTTCTTACGGGGGTAGCCTGCTCATCTGTCAGAAAGTCTGTCTTTCCTGGTACAAGCATGGGTAGGAATTCCAGCAGCATCACGCGCCATGTGTCAAGGTCCACAGATGGAACAAACTGTGAGTGACATGAGTTAAGAACCCCGGGAAAGTTTATCCCACATCACGCCAGCCTGCTCTGTGACTTTGGAGCAGTGCCTTGCCCCCACTGCACCTCCGGATCCCCCTCTGCCTGACCCTCTGGGTACCTTGGGTAGACAACGTGTGAGCCAGCTTCTTACGTCTTCCCTGGGGCATCCCAGCTGCGATGTGCTCTGCTGACGTCGATCTCCATTTCACCTCCCTGGCCATTCCCTCTTGGATTCCGTGATCCCACCTTCTCTTGAACCCTGGCCGTGTCTCAGAGTGGAGGCCAGGGGCTGAATGCCAGACGGAGCCGAGTGGGCAGCCTCCCTGCTCTCGTGGAGCATCCGGATTTATGGGAGCGGAAGTGTACCCCGCGAGACATTATACGCGCTGACCACTTCTTAGGCGGGGAGAGGTGAAGGAACTGAGGGCAGTCAGGGACTCAGAGAGGTTGTGTCTCAGCGGAGGGATGACCAGCAGGAGTGATACCTGCTGCTGGCAGGAGGAAGGGCTTTGTGGAACCTCAGAGAGCAGGAGAGGAGCAGCGCCATAGCTGGTGCCTTGAGAGTGTCCCCAAGCCGCATGCCTCAGGGACGGAGGGAGCTCTGTCCCAGAGAGTATCCAGGTTTGGGTAGCAGGCATCATCACTGACCATGAAAGGGGGTGACCTAGAGTGTCTCCTCAAAACCGCCCTTTGGGGCTGAGCACAAAACCTAAGGGAGCACTGTGTGTGCTGCTCCTGGCTCAGATATTCTGGTCCTGGGTCCAGAGCCAGAGCTCGACTGACACTGCAGCCAATCGGGGTTCGATCCCCGACACCCCCTTTGGCCCCCTGAGCCCTCCAGGAGTGATCCCTGAGCCAAGAATAGACCCTGAGGGACCGGAATGATAGCACAGTGGGTAGGGCGTTTGCCTTGCGTGTGGCCGACCTGGGTTCAATTCCCAACATCCCATTTGGTCCCCCAAGTACTGCCAGTAGTAATTCCTGAGTGCAGAGCCAGGAGTAACCCTTGAGCATCACTGGGTGTGACCCAACAAGAATCAGCCTTGAGCACACTGGGTGTGACCCCAAAATGAAACAGAACAAAAAGATGGTGTTGTCGCATGTGCCCAGGATCCCAGGATATGTAGGGACTCCATGACCTCATATAAAGGCCTCCAGGCACCCCCACTTCTACCAGGAGGGAGGGCCAGAGAGGGAGAGGAGAGGGCCTGAGACTGGGTGCCCCAAGGGTCCTGACTTGGCTGCAGAGGGGCCTTGGCCTCACACCCCCCACTAGGCCCTTCGAATGACCCCCCGTCCCCATCCATGGTCCCCAAACTGCACTTCAGGGAGAGGCCGTGGAGGAATCAGGTATGACCTCCACACGGGTGTGCCATGCAGGTTTATTCTGCAGTTGCAAACCGGTGGGAAATACTGAGATGCACTGCCTTTTTGGTAGGACTTGGGGGGTTTACGGGCTCCAAGCTTGTGCAGGGAGATCAGGACAATGTGTGTGGGGGGGAGGGGACGGGGAGTGGAGCATAGACTGTTCCCTCCCTGTCAGCCCTCCTATTCCTGCATCAGAAGGCAAGAACCCGGGACCTGTGGGTTGGAAGAGGTTTTGGTGCATCGTCTCAGACTACCAGGAGCTCAGGAGAGCTAGCTGACAGTGCCCCAGAGTGGGTGGGGCGCGCTGGCTCCCCTGAGGAGCTCCCCGGCCAGGCATCTCTTGTCCTGCTCCCTGCTCTGTGCCGGGAGTGGTAGGTACATCCCTGTTTCTTGGCTCTGGAGGGTGTCAGGGCATGTGGGAGGCCCAGCCCAGACACTGGCCGGGAGTGGGGTACAAGGAGCCCCCCTCTACTGCTAGAGGGAGGAGCCGTGGACAGTGCTGGGAGCTGCAGCCAACCCCCCGCTCCTGAGGGTGCCCTGGAGGTGCGGCCAAGCCCCAGGGGGGTGTGGGAGTCCCCTTCCCCCACCCTCCTGGCCTTCAGGGGCCAGCGTACACCCCCTGCCCTCCCCTCTTGCTCAGAAGAGGAGAGGTGCCAGGCAGTGAGACAGGGTAGGTCACAGTTGCCTGACTGCAGCTGCAGGCAGACCCCTTGAGGGTCAGCGCCGGATCAGGTGATGGAGCAGGAGACTGGCCAACGGTCACAGCACCTGTCCCAAAGGCCAGCAGCAGCAGGCAGGGAAAGCACTGGGCAGGGAGAACTGCAGTTCCCAGCCAGCACCCTGCAGGGGGCGCCAGCACATTGCAGCCGGAGGAGTGACAGGGTGAAGGGGATGGATCTCTGCTTTTCCCCCTCACCCTCTCTCTGCTTTCTGTCGTGACTCCCAAGCCGGCCTGTCTTTAAAGTGAACTTAGAAGGGAATGTTCTCAGGACTGGAGGAATAGTACCGAGGGTAAGGTGCTTGCCTTGCACGCGGCTAACCCTGGTTCCCGGAGCCCTACCAGGCATGAGTGCAGAGACAGGATTAAGTCCTAAGCACCTCCAGTTGGCCTTACCCTCGCCCATACCTCTGCCAAAAAAAAAAAAAAAAAAAAGGTTGTGTGGCGAGGGGGGTGGCGGGGGGGGAATGTTTTAGAATTTTCTTGGACCTGGCTTGACAAACACAACCTGTCCTCAGCGTGGGTCACAAGGCTGTCTCCTTAGATGCCCGGAGCCTCAGCCAGTAAGCAGTACCGGCAGTGACCCCCCCACACACACATAACTGTGAACTGGTCAGTGCCCTCCTGGGAGCTGACCCCCTCCTCCTGGACTTTCTCCAGCTCCAGGTGGGAGCAGGAACCTGTGCCAAGTAGTGGGAAAAAAGTACTGGAGAAGAGGTGTCAAGTCCTGAGCAGGGTGTGGGGCGGGGAGGGTAGTGCCAGGTCCACTCCCAGAGCGGCAGCAGGGGGCCCTGGACACTGAGAGCATGACCCTCTCAGGTACCGGCCCCGGGTGGGAACCGCCGGAGGATCCAGACACGGGCTCTGAGTGCTCACATCCAGAGGCCTCCCCGTCACCACGCTTCGTGGCCGCGAAGACCCAGGCGAACCAGTCGGGGAAAAAGGTTCCGGCTTCCGTGGTCCGCTGTGCCACCCTCTTACACCGCACCCCTCCAGCCACCCAAACCCAGACGTTCCGCACTCCAAATTCGGGATCTCCGGCAAGCAAGGCAACCGCAGGTACCAACAGCTTCCATCACCCCACACGTGTGCCCTTTGTCCCCGCCCGGCTGTGCCCGGTGTCACGGTGGCCCTGCCCGAGTGGGAGTGGGTTCCCAGGTCTTCCCGGCGACATCCGTGTCCTGGCTCTGCCCTTGCTGGCTGCATGCCCGCAGGGAGCCCTTGAACCTCTCTGAGTTTTGGTTTCGTACCTTTAATCAGAGGGTTCCATGAAGTGATTTTTGCAAACGTTTCATCTTTAGAAAAACAGGGGGGAAAACTCTTTCCATACCCCCCCCCAAGTTCTGAACCAAGGAGTTTTAAATTTTTTTTTTCTGAATTCAAACATTTGAACTTGGTTTTGTAGTTTATATAAAACATGTGGGGCTGGAGCGATAGCACAGCATGTAGGGCATTTGCCTTGCACGCGGCCGACCCGGGTTCAATTCCCAGCATCCCATATGGTCCCCCGAGCACCGCCAGGAGGAATTCCTGAATGCATGAGCCAGAAGTAACTCCTGTGCATCGCTGGGTGTGACCCAAAAAGCAAAAAAAATAAATAAAGTGTTTTTTTCAACCTCTTGCTGCCAAGTCAGGACTGGTTCTCCTGACCCACTTTCCTGCCAGGCAGCAAGCTCCTTGGGGCCGAGCCACGGCTGTCTCCTCGGACAGAGCACGTGCGATTCCCTTTTCCACAGTCCTCACCACTCCCTGCTGCCTACCTAGCTCACGGCCGCATGGCAGGTGTCATTTCTCATTGTGATCACATGATTGCCTGTCTTCCATCCTGCTCATCCATATCCATCACCTTCCCTGGACCCCCAAAGCATGCATTTACAACCCCCACCTTACAGAAACCCTGTCTGAGGATGCACCTCTCCAAAGATGAGTAGGTGGCTGAGAGCTCTGTCCTCCGGGACTCCCTTCTCCTCACCCTCCCGTGAAAGCCCTCCACCCCCAGCCATAGCCCAGCAGAAACCAACGCGTGTCACTCCAGGGTTGGGTGGGTCTCTGCGGAAGGAGAGTCGGGGCGGCAGAAGGTTGAGCAGATTGTGAAAGGCTTCGCGTTTCCCCCAGGGAGACAGATGGGACACGCCGTGTGTCTCCTGCCCACGCACGCAGCACCTGGGAGCAGCCAGCCAGGCCTGCCTGCCTGCCTGCCTGTGGGGGTCTGTGGCATGGAGGATGGAGTGTGAGATGGTCCTCGGGGACTGTGGGTCTTGCAGTCTCCCTCCGAGCCCCGCGTCCATCTCTCCAGTGCTCGTGCGACCAGACCCTGAACTCAGTCTGCCGACGTAGCCGATGGGACAAGGGCTGATGGAGAGGGGCGGGGGGTGTTGGCCTCTGATCTCTGGTTCCGGACACTGGTCTTGGCAAGGATGGCTTCCTGCCATTTCTGAGGATCCGGGTTTTTTTGTGCGTGGGTCTCCCCAAAGGAGAGTGGCCGGGGGTCCTGGAGGTAATGGCCTTCCTAGGCTGTGAGGAGAAAGAAAGGGTTCCTCGACGGGAGGAACCAGCTCCACCAGACCCTGCGGTCCTGCGTCTCCAGTCTTGCCCGCCCTTGGCTGTGTGGCAAGGTGGGGTTTGCATCTGCAGGGCTCGGAAGAAGGATGCTTCTAGGTTAGGGGTCTGGGGGCAGAACCTTCAGCGAGCTCTGGGCCTCTGCGGCTCTGCCTGCTTGCCTTCCTGTGGCCCGGGGTGCGGGGTGTGGGGGTGGTCCTCCCCGAAATGACAGCCAGGGAAGGACCGAGGTGTGCCTGCACCCTCGCTCTCAAGCAGCCCCCACCTTCCTGTGCGTCTCTATGCCTTTGGGGAGAACTTCACGTACCGGACCCACCACACAGGCCTCAGCTGGAGGAGCCCCGGGCTTCAGCGGAAGTACAAAACGTGCGCTGTCAGCTCAGCGCTCCGGGACTGTTTATGAATGGGGCGGGGGGAGGGGAGGAGGGCGGGTAGTGGGGCTCAGTAACAGTCAGTGCTGCTGTTCCGTGCTGCTGTTTTCGTGGGTGCACCGGAAGATGGGGGACACGAGGATGTAGATGGGGACTCACATCCCCGCCCAGACTTTTTCTAGAAGAAACTCTGCCAGGTCCCAAACGTCGGCTCCTGATTCGGCCCCTTCTACAGATCTCTACCAGCCTGGTCCCCCCCCTCCACTCCCAGTCCCCAATTTCTCACTAGGGAGGGCTTGGGGGGCCGTGGCAGAGCCGCGACTGGCTCACTGGCGGTGATGGGTGGCAAGACTCAGGAGCTGAGTCCCCCCCCCCCTTGTTTCAGGCCAGGCTAGAAGCATCTGCTTCTTCCTCTCGCAACCCCATCTCACCCGAGAGACACAGCCCCAGGGCGAGCCCAGCCAGAGACGCCTCCGCTTGGTGACATGCTGATTTTGAGTCCATTTTGGGTCATGGCAGGGTCAGAAACGTCTTCCTGTTGCCCAGGTTGAGGACAGTGGGGGTCTCCCGCACTTTGCCAAGTAGCTCTGCCTGGACAGTGAGCAGCTGGAGGCCTTTTGTCGGTGCTTTTCATTGATCTGGGTTTTAGTGGATCCAGGGACTTGTCTATGCTGGGCACATGTACTCCAAGGACCGCTCCCTGAGGGGCGCTGCTGTGTGTCCACACTGATGCTGCAGGCACGACTGGGTGGGCAGCCTGTGGTGGCTGCATGGCCGGACACCGTAGGGGCTGCAGCCAGGGGTGGGGACGGGGTGTAGTTCAGTGGCCGCCTCTGACTTCCCTTCCCCTCACCCAGCCACCCTGCAGAATCCCAGCCCCCCACGCCCCAATGCCCTGAGCTCCTGCCCTGCCAGTGTGGGAAGCATAGGACCAGTGGCCTCTCCCCAAGCAGGGACCGCCCCCCTGCAAGGCCCTTAAGGAACCTGAGATTTTGAAAAGTGACTTTGCTGGCCCCCTCTGTTCCGGAAGTCTGCGGTATCCACCTGGGGCCGGGCTCAGCACATTGGAGACCCTAATGTGAAGGGCTAGCCTGGGGAAACGGGGGGGGGGGGGGCACTCGTGCCAAACTGACTTTGGAGCACACCCAGCCCCCCGACTGTGCCAGGGGCCACATGGAGACCCCATTGTCCTCCACTGGACACCGCCTCAGTGCCTCCTGCAGGGCTCTGGGGACTGGGGACGCTGTCCTCCGGGGTGTCAGGTGACACCTGGCAAAGGATGTGCCTTGTGGGGTCACACTGGTGACCCCTTCCTCCAGTTACTGTACACCCTCTGCTCTGTGACCGCTGGCTGAGCAGACCGGTGACCCCTGAGCAGACCCCTACTCTGGTTGCTGGTTGCCCAGGCCTGGGCGCCCTCTGTGCAGCAGGGGTCAGCGGGCTGAGTGACAGTGTCACCTGGGGGGAGCCCGAGGCCCAATAGCATCTGCATACTGGGGTGCTGGTCCCACATGCAGCCTCAGGAGGGGTCCTCAGGGCGAGACAGACGTGCAGGCAACTACCACAAGTGAGTTGCTGGGGGGCTTGGCTGTGGGCTTCCGGCCTCCCCAGGAGAGACCCCCAGGTACTGCCTGGTCTGGCCTAGCCGCTGGCCTGCCCACCCTGGGCACTGACCCTGTGCTGACCCACCCACTCCTGCTCTCCCTCCCAGCAGAAAGCGCCTTCAGTCGCAGAGCGGAAGGCAAAGCACAGAACCACTTTGAAGAGACCAACAGCAGCTCCCAGAACTCCAGTGGTAAGTGGCCCCCAGACGGGTTTCCAGGGCAGGGTCCTCACGGAGCCCAGCCTGTGCCTGGGAGGAGGGAGGGCAGAGAATCAGGTTGGGGGGGGGGCGGGGGTGGACAAGCATTTCAGGGACCTGCCCGGGCCTTCTGTCTGGGTTTGAGAGAGAGTATGCTCGTGGCCCTTTCCGGGAGAGGTCAAGTGGCCTTTGAGCTGATGGCCCCAGTGTCGGCTCCCCCTTGGGACCCAGAACCTTCCAGAACTTCCCTTCCAGCAGCACTAGCATTCAGCTCTGGCTCCTGGTGGTATTTGGTGCCCCCTGGCGGTCACGTCTCACAAGCCCCCTTCAAGCCAAGAGCCCCAAAGGGGTGGGAAGGCCTCTGGGGTGGTCAGGAACCTTCCATTGTGGCCCCAGAGAGTGGAATCCCATTTCTCAGGTTAGGACTCAGCCCCTGCTGCTACCACCGTGCAGCGCCGTGGTAGAGACCACTGCGGCTGGGGTGCCCCTGTCCCACTTGGGCATGCAGGTGAATGGCTCCCCAGGGAGCGGATCCCGTAGGGGACACTGTCACTTAGCCCCAAGACCTCCACTGCACCCTGGCCAGGCTCTGCAGGAGCAGACAGCTGGTTTCAGCCTCAGGGAAGGGCAGAGAGTGCCAGGCCTGGGTGGCCAGCGACCAGGGTAGGGGGTCGGCCCAGGGGCCACCAGTGTTACCCCACAGGGCATTTCCACTGCCAGGTGTCACCTGAGACCCAGAGGACAGCGTCCCTGGTCCCCAGAGCCCTGCAGAAGTCACCCAGGGGGTTTCCAGTTGAGGGCCAGTGGGTGTCCCCCACGCGGCCCCTGACACTGTCGGGGGCAGGGTGTGCTCCAGAGTCAGTTTGGCCTGAACACCCACCTTGCCCCCCCCCCAGCCCTGCACAGGAGGATCTCTGAGGACTCAGAACCGCACACGTTGGCTCCTGCCTCAGACGTGTGCTCCAGCCTCCACCTCTGGCAAAGGTGGAGGCCCGAGCACCACCCCACCCCCTGACACCCCACCAGCTGGTTGGTGGCAGACCAGCCTTGGGGGAGGGTTGAGGTAGGAGGAGGAGTTTTTCTTCTGAGTAACCAAGCGGTTTGCAGAGTCCTGAGCAAGCCTGTGCTGAGGGAGGGGTGCCATGGGGAGCCCCCAGGATTAAACAGGGCCCTTTTCTGTTGTTTGTTTTGTTTTTAGTTGTTTGGTTTTTGTTTTGTTTTGTCTTGTTCTTTTGGTCACACCCGGCTCTGCACTCAGGAATTACTCCTGGCTGCGCTTGGGGGCGACCATATGGGCTGCTGGGAATTGAACCCAGGTCCGCTGCATTTGCAAGGCAAATGCCCTACCCGCTATCGCTCCAGCCCTGCACGGGGCCCTTTAAACCCGGAGTTTCCAACTGTTTTGCTCCTGTGGGCTGGTGTAGATGTGAGGAAGGATGTCAGTCGTTCCCCCAGCCTCCCGCCCTGCTTGCTCCCTCCCCCTCTACCCTCTCCCCTCTGCTGGAGATGGCCTGTGTGCCAGGCAAGAGGACCGTTCTCGTGGACAGGGCTGGGAACCACTGCTTTAGCCCAGAGTGTGCTGGTGGCTTCCCCTCGAGGCCACGGGGTGAGATTGTCCGAGCTGGTGAGGGTCTGCCCCTCCCCCGCTCCTCCTGCCCCCACGGATGCCGCCCATACACTGAGCTGCAGGGGCATTGATTAAGCATTTACTGTGTGTGTGCCTGGCACTGTCCCCCACGTATGTCTCTCGTCCTCCCTTGTGCCCAAGGCGCCCGTGGACTCTTAATCCCACTTTTCCGACAGGGCCCTGGAGAGGTAGAGGCAGGCCGGGTTCCACACCGGAAGGGGGCGGGGTCAGGATTGGCCCAGCTCCCTGTCCAAATCCTCCCTCAGAGCGGAGAGGGTCCAGGGAGCTGCCCCTGCCCTCTGTAGCCCCCTAGAATTTGAGCCTTTGAAGCCCCTGGCTCTGGGAGCCCCATGTGTCCAACCCCAAACAGGGTAGCAGTCAGGAGGGTCACTCCAGCTCCAGCACCGGGTGGGACATAGGCAACCCCCTACTCTCCCGGGCATCCCTCCCCCGCCCCCACCTACAGACAAAGCGATGGCTGGGGCTGGGGGCGGGAGCAGTAGGCAAGGCAGGTCAGAGACCTCCCCAGACCTCCGAAGCCCCCAAGGACACAGGGAGCCCAGCCCTAGACACAGAGAGGAGTTTGGACAAGGGAGCAGAGCAACGCCCTCGGGAATGTGACCACTCTCCCTGCGCCCTGGTTCCTGACCCCGGGGGGCCTCATCAGGACACCTCTCCCAAGCCCTGGCTCTTCCTCCTCTTCCTCGTGACTGCCCACTGCTCCTTCCTGCTCCTGCCTTCCTCTGGCCCGCATCAGGCTCCGTCTGGCATGAGTGTCCGTCCCTCTGTGTCCCTCCTGCTCCCTGCACCCCTGCCCCCCTCCCACCGTCGTCTCCTGGGCTCCTCCCTGGGTCCTCCCCTGGGACCCCCGCCATTCCTCCACTCCTCCCCCTGCCCTGCCCGCCTGGTGGGCCCAGGCTATGCTCCGGGCCAGGTTGCAGTTAGCCCCACGCCCTTTCCCGGGCTGAGGTAGAAAGCTGAGCCCCCTCCCACGGGGCCCTCCTCAGCTCTGGGTTCCCAGCGTGTCCTGCCTGTGCCCCAGGCTGGCCCCTGGTAAACGCTCAATCCCAGGCTGCGCATTCTCCTGTGCGGGGGGTGTGGGCAGACTGAGCCCCGATCCTGACCCCTCCCTGCACCTCTGCGCCCCCAGCTGGCCCTGCCCTAACACAGCCGCCCCGTCTCTCTCCAGAGCCCTACACGTGTGGCGCGTGCGGGATCCAGTTCCAGTTCTACAACAATCTGCTGGAGCACATGCAGTCCCACGCAGGTGAGGGGGTGGCTGGGGGCCAGAGCCAGCCCGGGGCCACTCTTTCTACGTCTATGCTTTGTTGGGGTGTGGGGGGAGGCGCCACACCCAGGTTTGCTGCAGGCCACATCTAGCAGGGTGCTCGGGGGCTAGTCTCACACTCTTAGGGCTGCTCCCCATAAGTGCTCTGGAGCCTGCCTGGTGCTGGGGGTAGAACCCAGGGATCCCACATGTGCTCCAGCCCTTTGAACACCGCCCCCCCCCCCCCCATGACTCTAGGATTTCTAGGAGCTCCAATCGGGCAGACAGAACATGGAGGGATCAGGGTGGGGTGTCTGTGTTCAGTGGGCATGTAGGAAGCTAAAGGGGGCTTGGTGGGGGCCGATCAGGCAGGGGGTACAGAGGATGGAGTCAGAAGGCTTCCAGACCCCTGGGCCGAGACCAGAGGCCAGCAGGGAGCCAACAGGGATGGAGACAAGAGGCGGGAATTGCGTGGGGTTGAACGTGGGGCTGAGTGGAGGTACCGTGGCTGGCTTCTGCCCCCGTGGCCGTCACTGGAAGGTCCTGTCTGCCAAGCCCCGTCCTACAACCTGAGCATGTGCCAGCGTGTCCGGGGGCGTGTGGCTCCCCAGCTTCCCTGCCTGTGTGTCTCACTGACCAGCCTTCCCCCATGCTTAGGCCGTGGGTCCAAGGACCAGCCGTGTAGCCCGCCACGCAAGCCAGTATGACACGGCCTCCCCTTAGCTCTGGGACCACCCCGCCGGCTTCAGGCCTTTGCTTGAGGCCCCAGGTCCGCAAATTGATTCCACCCCATCGGCCTTTCAAACCTGGCACCACCCACTCTGCTCCACTGTCTCGGGGAGTCCTGGAAACACCCAGGGAAGCCCCAGTGCTCAGGGGCTTAATAATCACCCTTGCGGTCACATCACATTCCAGTGCAGAGACCTTAGGCGGGTGGCCTTTAAGGGGGTCGCTCGGGAGTCCGGCTCCTTCCTTCTCTGGCTCCATCCTCTGTTTCAACTGCCCTTCCTCTCCCGGATGGGGGCACCTGTCCTGCTCTGCCTGAGACCCCCAGGGACACGTTCGCATCCATAGAGCAGCCCAGCCCTGGCAGAGGTCACGGGATTGGGGTGAGGATGGAGCCCTGGTGTTTCCCATCCCGGGGGGTGGGGGTGGGGCGGAGCCAGGACAGGGCCTGATGACCAGGGGGCCTGCCACGAAGCTGCCCATGTTCCAGCAAGGGGCCATGGCGTGGCCTCACTCGCAGTTCTTAAGGCTTTGGGATCATTTCCAAGTTACCTGAGGGCACACCAAGGATCGTCTTTCTGAGGGAGACGCAGGCCAGCCTCCGCTCCCTGAGGTGTGACCACTTGGTTGGCTCCCTGCCTCCTCGGTTCACCTTTTGCTCAAACGGCTCCACTATCCACGGGGCACTAGCTCTCACAGTCTTTGGGGGAGGCCAGTGATGGCGGCCATGTCTGGGTGCCTCCCAGCATGGAGGGCAGGTCGGGGTGGGGGAGCACCATGGTATGGTGCCAGGGATCCAACTAGGGCCCCCACATCAAAAACACACGCTCCAGCCCTTCCGGTCCCCACCTGCTTCATTTCTAGTGGGTCCCAACTCAGGACACGTCCCCGCCCGGCTCTCTTGCCGCCCTGCCTCCTGGGGTTGTCCCCTGAGGCAGGGACATGGTCCCCTTCTCAAAAGGAAGGGCGTGCATATGCTGCCTGAGCCCAGGTGCTGCTTGTGCCCACGTGGCCGAGCACATGTGGTGCCCGAGCCTCTCCCCTCTTGAGATGTGCACTTTCATGCTTTCCTGTCTAATGCTGGGGTGTGTGTAGGGGGTCTCTCCGCCCTTGGAGAAGCCCACGTTCTCTCTTGAGCACCTCTCTCTCTCTCTCTCTCTCTCTCTCTCTCTCTCTCTCTCTCTTCCCCCACCTCCACACTTTCAAAAACCCTCCAAATTCTGTTTTACTTCAAAAAAAAAATGGCACCGGCCTGTCATCACTGGTACCCACAGAGACTCCTGCTTTCTGCATCTCGTCACTCTCACGCCCTGAGCCACCTCCACACACCCAGACCTGGCTGCAAGGGGGATGGAGGTCGGTTATGTACCCCCTGCCTAGGCAGCCTTCGGCCTTAGCTCATGGGTGTTGAGTCTCTGAAGTTGCAGAACCTCACCCACCCCTCGCACCTGGAGGGTCCCCCGTGCGCATGCGCATGATCTCCCAGGCTGTTAATGGGTGCAGTCCATGAAAATGAAAATTGAGCTGCGGGTGAGGACCACCAGCAACCCCCTCCCCAGCACTTCCACTTGTCACTCACCCCCACCCCTGGCCCCCACCCAGGAGCAAGGGCTGCTTTGTTCTGGTCCAGTGCTGGCCGAGAATGCCGGCCCCGCCATCCAGAGCAAAGCCAGCCAGATCGCAGCCAGGCAGAGTCCGGATTAAAGGATTGACTCCGTGGAGAGAAATTAAGCGTCATGATCTGTGCGTTCACCCCCGCAGATAAGGGGGATCAGCGTGGAATGACAGCAGGGCTCATTAAGAAGCTGCTGAATGGGATGGGGAATTCCCACGAATCCACTTCCTGCCTGCTGCAAGAAGGCCGGGCTGAGCCCTGGTGACGGGGGTCGAGCGTGACAAGGGCACTTGGGGTGAGTGCTCAGCACGTGGCTGGCCTCATGGAGGGACGTCCCCATACGGAGGAAGAAATGGAGGTGTGTGGCAGTGGTGGTGGGCAGGCTGTTGGGATAGGTGGTGCCTGTTTGCTCTACTTTCCATCTCAGGAAACTAAGGCACACATAGTCACAGTGACTTGGCCAGGGCTTGGGAGTCGCCAGCAGGCTGCGATTCTTGCCCTCATGGGGAACTGTAAACCTGAGCTCTCAGTGGATGTCCTCTGCCCCCCCACCACCCCGCTACTCCTGTTTCCACGGGACCCCGAGGAGGGGCACAGCTGAGAGGCTTTTTGGGTCACACCTGGCGATGTGATGCTCAGGGCTCTGCACTCAGGAATCACTCCTGGATGTGCTCTGAGGACCCTATGGGATTCCAGGGATGGAACCCAGGTCAGCCGTGTGCAAGGCAGGCACCCTCCCTGCTGTACCGTCACTCCAGCCCCTGCTGTTGGACTTTCCTGAGGGCTGTCTTAGCATGCAGAAGCGGCATCTCACTGTGGCTTGGTGACTCAGGAGACGGCCAGTGTTTCTTGTGGCTTCTTTGCTTTTTGAGAAGTGTCTCTTCAGATTCTTCTCTCCTTCTTCCACATCTCGTATTACCGAGTTGTAACAGTACTTTCGGTCTCATGGGTTGGGGTCTCTACAGATGCACGCTCTGAGGCTCTGGGTCTGGCAGATGCATGCTCTGTGACCCAGGATCTCTGCAGATGCACGCTCTGCAGCCCAGAGTCTGCAGATGCATGCACCGCTGCTTGGGGTCTCTGTAGATGCACGCTCTGCAGCCCAGAATCTCTGCAGATGCATGCCCAGGATCTCAGCAGATGCGTGCTCTGTGGCCTGGGATTTCTGCAAGTGTTTCCTCCTGTTCTGTGGACTCTTTTCATTCTCATGATACTATCTTTTGAAGTACAAATGGTTTTCATTGTGATGATGTCGTCTCTTTATTTTTTTTTCTTTTATTATGTTTACATCATACCTCAGAAGCCATTGCCAAACCCAAGGTCAGACCCAAGATTTAACACCTGTCTTATTACGGGAGCTTCGTGGTTTGAGCTCCGCCCCCCCCCCCCCACACACACACACACACACGTGTCCACACTCGGTTCTGAGTTAATATTCATCAGATGTAATGTGAGGTAGGGATCCAGCTTCATCCTGTCCCTTGTGCATATCCAGTTGTCCCAGCACCACTGTGGTGAAAAGACTGTTCTTTCCTCCAGTGAATTGTCCTGGGGCCCCTGCCAAAAACAATTTGGCCATAAATGCAAGGGTTTATTTCCAGATTCCAAATACTGTTTCATTGATCAATATATCTTTCTGTATGCCAGTGTGCACTGTATTTGATTATTCTAATCTAATCAGGAAACATGAGACCTTCCAACTTTTGTTTTTTCTTCAATATTGTTTTGGCAATTCTTCATTTTCTTCATTTCATGTGACTTGTCGGATCAACGTAGCAAACTGTGAAAAAGTCTGCCAGAGTTTTGATTTATGTGCGTTCCAGATCAGTTTGGTTAGTATTGCCATTTTAATAACATCATCTTCCAGTTTGGGATCACAGAATGTTTTGCAGTTAAGTATTTCAGTTCTTTCATACATATTTTTAGTTTTCATGAGTATGTCCTGCACTTCTTTCGTAAATTTATGCCTTAGTATTTCATTTTTTTGAAAGCTATTATAATGGGTTTTTTTTAAAAAAATGCTTTCAGTGTTTATTAATAGTTTCTGTATAGCATGGATCTTTATTTAGCAATCTCGATGAACTCACCTGTAGTTTATTAGTGGGGTGGGGGTGGGGCAAGGCAGAAAGATAGTAAGGTGCACACACCTTGCATACGACCAACCCCGGGTTCTGTCTCCAGTGATCCATAAGGTTCCCCTGAGCCCCACCAGGAGTGATTCCTGAGTGCGGAGCCAGGAATAAACCCTCTCAGCACAGCCAGGTGTGGCACAAAAAATAAAGACAAAACAAAATTTGTGTGCATATGAATTTAATAGCCTTTCCTGTCTACACATTGTGTCACTCGCAAATATGGGCAGTTTTGCTTTTTTCACATTTAAATCTGATGTCCTTTCTTTTCCTGGCCATCTAATATAACTGTTTTTTAGAGGTTTATCTAACTTTTTTAAAGTTTTTTGTTTGTTTGTTTGTCTTTGGAGGGGAAAGGGAGTGCATACCTGGCAGTGTTTCGGGCTTACTCCCGACTCCACTCCAGGGGACCATATGTGGTGCCAGGGATCAAACCTGGTTCAGGCACATGCAAGCGAACAAGCACCTTACATGCTGTGCTCTCTCTCTCTCTCTCTCCAGCCCAGAGTTCTATCAGCTCAGTAGATTCA